TTCACCAACCCCTTTGGGTTCGCCAGCAGCGGCCAAGACGGCAGGTTCACCATGTACAGCGGCGGCCGGGGCTATCGCGGGTCATGGACCGCCTGGAGCGACCCGACCCCCTCGGCCAGCTTCTACGCAGGATCGTCATGGCCTGTTCAGGCACCAACAGGCGTCACAACCCGCAGTCCCCCGCCGGCCGCGGCGACGGCGGCGCCTCAGGGTCCAGCGGTGGTAGACTTACCATCCGAGCAATACGTGCCCATGTCCCCTCGCCCTGACTACGGCAGCGTCATCAGCAACCCCGTCATTCCCCTCTATCCGGACTCACCCACGTACTCTCCAGCTTCGCCCACCATGGGCCGTACGGGCTCGCCTATCCCGTACCATCCAGCTTCACCCGACCTGACCCGTTTGGGCTCGCCTCTCCCGTACCGTCCGGCTTCGCCCAACCTGGCCCGTCCTGACTCGCCTATCCCGTTCTGTCCGGCTTCACCCACTCCCATGAGAAGCCCCAAGCGGCGGCATTCCGTGATCGACGTCAACGAAGTTGATGCAGGCCTTGACGGGATCCCTCTCAGGGCCAACACTGTCCGAAAAACTACCTTTGTGGAAGCTGTCTCGGAGGAGGTCCCTCCGCTCAAGAGGCAGCGAAGCTTGTCCCAAGAGTCCCACGAGTACTGCATTGTCAACAACTTGTCCGACGACGATGATGAAGGGGACGAGGAAGACGAAGACGAAGACGAGGGCAGAGACAAGGAGGAGGTGCGACGGCTCAAATTGCACGCGGGACACACTCCTCGTTCGCCTCCAGTGCGCCACAGCCAGGGCAGCCCAACCCCGATTGCCCCTTCTTCCCCGCCGGATCACGGGATGGCCATTCCCGACGAAATGGCAACGGTGCCGCCTGACTCTACCACCTCGGAGGGTTCGGGCGACGTGCCTCTCAAGGGCCCGCTGATGATCCGGAACAATCCTCTTCATGACGAAAGCTTCCTGGCCGCTCTGCACGAGAAACTCAACCCCATCAGCCGGGGAGTTGATGCCCTCCCCAGGGCGGTGCAGTCTCCCATCGAAATGCCGGCACCGCTGTCAGCTGCGCGAGGTGAGCATATCGGCATTGGCCGCTCGGATTCCGATCACGTCCCGCATCCTGAGAGCACGGATCGCTCGAATCTTGTGTCCACTGAAGGCAAGGAAAGTGAAGATGACGGTGACCACAGCGACGATTTTGAAAGCGCGGAGCCTGACGTTCCACTCAAGTTCAAGTCTACGAGCAACTTTGGGCAGCCCTTTGGGAGGATGTAGAGCACTATCCGAGGGAAGCGGCAGAGCTGCGCAGGCCAGCGGTGCTTTGTTTAGATAGTTTACAATTGCTTGATCTTCAGTTTGTTGGGTTTTTTTTGTTCAGTTTTTTTTTTTTTTTTTTTTT